AGAATAGCAGACAATTATTTCTGCTTTATTTGAGTGTTTATCCCATTGATTAGCAATCAGTTCCTGCAATTTGCTTAGGTGTGTTATTTTCAACAAATAATATACCAGGTGTATTTTTTATATTATTAGTACAACAACCTGAGAGCCTTATATTGTACAAGAATTAGGTTGCTATTGTTGTTTCTGGTTGAAATCATAGTTGTGCCATAAATGGTGGTAAACAAAGCAGTTTGAAGCAGGTTAGCAAACAAAATGGGAAATGGACAGGACAAAGTAAGGAACTTTAAATATTTTTTTTTTTAGTATTACCAGCTGCATTTTAGACAATGTAAAGCACATTGTCTAAATGTAAGAGAGGGGAAAAGAGAAAGGCCAGAAATAGCAGTGGGTATAAAACTGAGAGGAAATAGTTTTTAATGCATTTTCTTGTAAATTAAGTCTTTATGTTCTGCACAGTGATATCTTTCATTTGGATTGATCTGGTTAACTTAGTATAAAACATACAGTTAAAAATCAACTGAGATTTTCTGCTGGCTTCCATCTCATCCTACAATAGGTTGCGTCATTTTCTTCCTATGTCATGAATTTCATCTCAATTTGTGTGTCTTAGATACCCTGGGACTTCTTAAATAGTATGGGACACTTAATTTAGATAGTTAAGTGAAAGGGTCCTGGTGGACACCAAATTGTATATAAATTAGCAATGTGACCTTCTTGCAAAGATGTTATCCTGGTATCCAGTGGTATCCTTGGCCATGTTACGATGAGTGTTACCAGCAGGCTGTGTTGTGATTCTTTCCCTCTGCTCAGAAGTGAGGCCATCCTCACTGTGTCCTGTGCCCAGTTCTGGGCTTCCCAGTTCCTGTGCCCAGTTCTGGGCTTCCCAGTACAAGAGAGACATGCATTTATAGTAGCTGAAGGCTAGTTTAGCCAAGATGCTGAAAAACACTATTTCCTTGAAGTATGCATTTTATTCTTCACATTCTTTCCAGTGTAGTTTAGATAAATGTAAAGCAGCATTTTAATTCAAAGCAATTAAAATTTTTTTTATACACACACACATATATATATATATATGCACAAACACACAGAACAAACTAGCACAGGATTTTTTTTCCATGTCAGTATATTTTGCTGAATCCACAAGTCACTTCAACAGTATCCATAAATTCCAGCTGTAAGCCCCAGTCACAACAGCACAACTACTGTGCAGCACCACTCTATACATAAAGCCTCTCTGCCATACTTCTGCTCAGTCAGTACCACAAGGAGAATCTGCTCATTCTGTTTCCTCTTATCCCTACTTCAGCCATAGTTCATCTGCTTTTGTCAGGGCCAGTTCTGCTTGCAGGTCTAAAGACTGACAAGGGCATCTTTTCTTCCTGAAGTGAACGGCAAAATCTCTGCAGTTTTTTTTCCAAGATCTCTGAGTAAGATGATAAAGCTGTTAGCAAAGCACTGTGCAAAGTCCTGGAAGAAGTAGTACTCTAGGTCCCCAGATCAGAGTTGGTAATATCTTCCTAATACTGACAGCTAATAGCATGCAAAGTAGCTCCAGTCACCAAAGCTTATACATTAAAAAATAAATCACAGATAGATCCAGGGTGACATTTTTAGGCTATAAATTTAGATACATAAATTTCTTTTCTCTATAAATTTATTTAGATTTATTTTTGAAGGAGCTTGTTCCAATAGGAATTTTGGGGACAAGGAATGATGAGAGATTAAGTCAGTAAATGTATGTGTATCTACCTCAAACACATGTATTGGATCAGAAAGGTAGAGAAAGCTGTACTGCCCAGAAGTTTAATCATTTAGCTAGATAACGGAACACCAAAAAGAAAGGAAAGAGCTCAATGACTTTGTGACTGGGATATTTTCCCGAAGATAGAAAATGCTGAGTTTGGTTCAAACAAAATAGGTCATATCAAACAGAGGATTTTGAAAGCAAAGATTAATTTCCTTGTGGTTTGGAAGGGGAGTTCTGAGCTGATGCTGCAACTCCTAAATTTGATGTCATTGTACCTTAAGCAAAATATATATCCTGTGAATACTTAGATGCCTCAGAATAAGATCTATTATATGCAGCACAGAGACTAAAGTGCCTCATACTACCTAGAGCAGAATATGTACACTGACAGTACTGTGGTTTCAGTCTAGTCTTTCTCACAACCTAGGCAACCATATTTATGGGTTTTAAGTCTGCTCTGGAGTTAATGCTTATCCTTTCTTTCAAGTCAAGACAGCAAAATGATCCTTTCTTTCTTCTAAAAGACAACTCAGCCTCTGTGGAGATCTCCTATGGGGAAATGTAGGCAAAGTTATTATTAATCCTTTGGTTTGCAAAACACTTTGCAACCTGCAAAGATGAAGAGGTACATTTAGCCTATCTGCAATTTAATCATATGCATTTCAATAGAATTACTCATATTTGCATACTCTAGCATGCAAACTCAAGAAAGTGACTATGCTTCTACAGTCATAAATATTAATTCTTTTGTCCAGACAAATGTATTCTTTCAGAGCTAGCAGCTAGCAGTTAAAAAATAATCCACAAAGCTTCTCTATTCCTTGATTCCTAGAACTCTTTTTTAATACTTCATGAAAGAGAAAATCCTGAAATGGGAGGGTCTTGAGAATAGTCTTTGTATGCTGTACAGCTATGTTTGCAACAAGTTGGTATCATAACTTCCTGAAAAGTAATTATACTGTATGTGAACTAACAAAAATTCATGATGCCTCAGCTTTTTTTTTTCAGACTTTTCTACAGTAACTGACAAGCAGTGTGGGAAGTAAGATCCCTAAACAAAAGTAAATGCATATATGCCTGACCAGAAAATGAATGATGATGGATGTCAGTACACAGCTGTAACTATAACTGATATATGCTATGACTGGCAATAAGAATTTCACTCTTCTGATATAAACCAGTTAGCTCACTGACATTTCACAGGAATGAACATTATATATGAATAATAGTTTTTCATAAATCTTGTCTGTGTTCTGCTAAGTAGCCATTGGATAACTTCCAACCATCTGGCTGGCATGTCTGCTCCCATGAAGGCACAATTCAGAGTGATTGTGTGAGAATTACTACTCAAGAATTAATGTAATTAAAGTATTAAAGACTTTGTATATTGCAGAGGGAGGGATGTTTGGGAGCTTTTAAGAAAACAAATACCTTTCTGTGAACAAAAAGACACTTCGGGATCAAAGAAACTTACCAAGCCTTTCTGTTTTCCTTTGGATTTTTGGAATCCTATGGATGTTCTTGAAATGTTCTTTTTTCCAAGTTCATAATTGTGGAAGAGCTGATTAGATAAAGAGCATTAAAGATGGTCTGCAGTATTCTCACTATGTACTAGGGTTAGATATTAAAGTAATGTGAGTCTTCTAATTGTATTAAAGCAGTCTAGTATTTTAAAACTACCTGGGTGTGGGTTGGAGCTTAGCCTAATGCAGCAGGATATGTAATTTGCAGACAACATCAAGACTGTTCTTAAAAAAAAAAAAACCCAAAAATTAAAATGCTACTAACTTGGTTTGTTGAAACCATTACCAGAATCATTGACTTGAAATACAGTGAAGGAGCGTTGCCCCTCAGTATTGCAATTGCTAAGGAAAATGGCCCCCTATGTTAATAGAAGGTAAAGAAAAAGGTGTGCTTTGCAGTTTGCTTTCTCAGTTGGTGTACTTTGATTTTTGCTAGCATATCTAGTACTTGCACTAAAAAATGCTTTCTTAGTGCATTTTAATCCTAAATTCTGAACCTATCTTTTAAAAAGAAAAAAAAAAGACACTTAGAGATATGGAATATTTTATTAGTAAACATGACACAAAAGAATAATTATTATTTTTGGTCTTGTTTACTAATTAAAAAAAGCTTTGTTAAGCCTTGAGGGTTCTGTTTCTAGGCACTGCAAGAAACCTAAGCTTGGCAACAGCTGGAGTGGGAGTCTGGAATAAAAGATAGGACATCACTAAGGCAAAGACAATTCTTGGCCAATCAAAAGTGTTGTAATTCTCTCTCTCTCTCTGTACTACAGGCAGTACAGTCCTCATTCTTCCAATGCATAGGCATAGAAATGAAAAATTTGGACTGTATTTGTTTCTGCCTTGGTTCAATGAAAAGTGCTCCAGTGAGACAGTGTTTACTGATCATCTGTGTTAGGAAACTCTTTTCAGCAGTAGAACGTTCCTTGATTGTAATCTATTGCTTTGGGGATTTGCTTCATATAAATATCTGGATTAGCACTTTAACTGCTTAATTGCCATTCTATTCAAAGAATGACAAGTAGCTGAGGTTGGAAGGAGTCACTGGAATCATCTAAGCTGACATGCCTGCTCAAAGCAGAGCCAACTAGAACAGGCTGCCCAGAATTCTGTTCAGTTGGATTAAAATACCTGCAAGGATACTTCAAACCTTTCTGGGCAACCTCATCTAGCCTTTGATCACTGTCACTATGAAATGTTTTTTAGATGGAAGTTACTGAATTTCACTTTGTGCCTATTGCCCCTCATCTGTCCCTGGGTGGTACCAAGAAATGTCAGACAACATCTTTTTTACTCATCCCTAATTAGGTATTTGCATACTTTGCTAAGTTGAGGCTGAGAAAAATATGTTTAACACACAGTAAAAATTCTTCTGTGTTTTCGAGGCTATAGGGATTGCTGAGGTAAAAACAATTTTATAAGCTCATATGGGCAACATATTTGATCACTTTACCAAGCCTCATAAAAAAAATTAAATAAATACAGAAGATGCAATTTAAAATTAAAATTTTTATAATATCTTCAATATTATATTCAATGTATTTAAATACATTAAGATTTTTTAAAAGTAAAGCTACTCAATCTTTTTGAAGTTTTAAAAAATTTTTTTTTTGGTTTTTTTCTGATATTAATTTCTCCTCTTCATTATAGTTTTAAGAATTTTGAACATAGAATGATTCAATTACTACATTCTCTCTACTCCATTACAGAAAAAATATACAAAAATATTAGAATCTGAATCCCTTTTTGCTTTATTGAAGTGAAATCACACTGTGATCCTCACATTCCTGTAAATCAAAAGAAAAAGACCAAGTCAACCAAAGTTTGGATTTTTGTATACCAGTATGGAAACACATCACAAGTGCAGGAGATTTATATTCATTTATCTGGGGTTTTTTAGTGTTTTTTTTCTGGGTTTGAGGGTGGCTTTTTTTCAGATAATGCTCTTTTATGGTTCCATTTTTTGGAACTTTTTTCCCTCACAAGTACTACTTTATCAGACTGTTTCAATATTCTGACAAGGCTGCTGCTATAAATTTCTATTTTAATTTTTTATACTTGCAAAAGATTTCATTGAAAAATAACTTAAACTTCAAAACACTTAACCTTTATCCATATTGCTTCTGGAAATTTCTGGTGGGTGATGACAGGTCTACAAAGTACAGGATCTATAGGTAAGAAATATAAGTAGGAAAGATATGCACCTTGAATGGGAGCTGTTGAATCAGCTCTGTAGGTGATACAATATATCTGTGTGCACTGACTTAAAGCTAGCTGTATGAAAATCTCTTGAAGACTAGCTAGTTTAAATTGTAATAAATTTTGTGTAGCGTATATATTTTCAGTTCCAAAGAAATCCCATCTCTGTCCCTCTTCTCCACTAGGCTCAAACACAGCCTCTTTGTATTCTGTACTGCTGTTGTATCTTACATATCATGTAGCATCAATTAAAGATCATCCACAAACACTTTCAATTAGGTCTAACTTATGTTAACTGTGATAAGCAGTTAAGTAATGCCCATTGTTAGTGCTGGCAAGAACTTGAGACACGATTCATCCCAGTTAGTATTATAACATATAGTGTTACTATTATATAACATTTAAGTAGTTATGTTAAATGTTAGTAATCCAAGTTGTCTTTACAATAGCTGTTTCTCTTCACTAACTACAAAATGAGTCTTTTTCAGGTATAGATAACTTTTACATCTCACAATTCCCATTTTCAGATGCCCTTTAATCTTAAGGAACAATTCAGCAAGGTGTTTATCCAGAACCCAATATTTAGGTTTCTAAAGAAACAGCTGGATTTTTTTATTTTTTGGTGTCATCCAAACCCACAAAATCAACCTTTCCGTTTTAAATTCCACTGATTCCCCTCATATTTTTAAAGCATATGTTTGATATAATTCCACTCTTTGTATGTTAGGTGCTGACTGATTTCTAAAATCACCCAATATTTTCTCAGACCATTTCTCCAAATAATTACTTCTTAAGTTGACTGTTTACACACTGCTCTCTCCTAAATACACCATCTTTCTAACAAAACAAACATAATAACATCCTAATTTTTCCTTTGTACACATGCACACGTCTGTCATAACCTACAAAAAAGAAGAGTATGAACATGAGCTTTCATGAGTCCACTGTGACGAGCACTCATTCGCCCTGTGCCATTACTTGTACATACTCTTTCTCCTCAGTTGCTGAAGTCTTAAGAGAGAAATATTTAAGGCATTTTTCTTCTCTGCATAGAGGTATTGAAAGCTTCTGCATAAGAGCTTTAATGCCATCCCAGAAGATCATTTACTGTATTCTCCTGGGCATAATTCACATTGTAGTATTCAACAAGGACCTTCTCTAATTCTACAGTAGAGCCATATTTTTGCACATTAAAAAAAGTGTTCAGCATGTGTTTAAAAAATTTGAGGCTGAAAATGTCTAGGCTTGTGTTGCATTGCAAGTGTATGATTTGGTACTGAATTCTTACCTTACTTCATAAGATTTAACCTTATACCTTGTGCATTAATTATGAATTTGCTGCAACAGAAGTTAGTGTCTTTATGTATTTGATATCTATGCACGTAAAAAGTATAACTGCACACATTAGCATTTCATTTCCTCTAAATGTCTACCTGTTAAAGATCCCTGAAGATTTTGTATAGTTTGTAAGTGAAAGCTGGAGCCATTTTGCCTTCTCTGTGTCTATTCTCCATACCAGAGTTCAATTAAACATCTCCACTATGGTTTCCTTCATCCATAAAAACAATGTACCAAGTGAAAGGCAACCAGCTTCTCAAATGGGTGCATGTTGGTTAGGTGGATACATATGCTAGAGTGTAGCCAAGGTTTCATTCCTCACCTTTGCCTCCAGTGAAAATAAATCCCCTCTGTTTATTCCACTCACTGAATCATGCAGAAAAGCATTTTTTCTGTTGATTAAAACAGTTAGATCTTTCTTCTTTGAGTGTTGGAAGGTCATGGACAATTTTTTTTTTCTTTTGTATTTTTCATATGCTTTTTTAATCAACAGAAAAACATGAAATGCATTTTCAGTGTGGAAGTACAGCACTTTCACAGATTAGCCTCTTACATCATCAGATGCTGAAACAGAAGTTAAAGCTGTGAAATGAAAATTGATCAAGAAAAGATGTATTTGTTTTAATTTAAGAAACCTGTATTATGTGACAGGAAATTACCTTTTTTTTTTGGTAAGAAAGCTTATTCACCTAAAAAATAATCTGATTCAGCCAATAAGAAATAAAAATAAAACTTTTTGCATGATTAGTCTGTATGAACTATATGAACATGTGTGATTGCAATGTAGCAGTGGCAATCACGTGAGCCACAATGGGATAGGCAATTGTTTATTATTTTGTTTTGTGCTCTGGTGGCATGATTATTCTATACAGAATTTTGAAGTTTGAGTTCAAATGCTCTGTATGTATGTACAAGTGCAGAATTGTGTGCATAAATATATAAAAAGAAAAAAAAAGAGGAAATTAATGTAAATCATGGGTCATAACATGTTAGTGAGTTTAACGATAGCCTGCAGAAACAAGAGAATTATATTAAAAGCTCATTTTTATACTGAAAGAACAGGGTAAATTTATAACATTGAAGCAATAGTTTTCAAAAAACATAAATTAGGTGCTATAGGGGACTGTACAGATGCTGAGACTGGACAAAAAATTGAAATACTGAAATCATATATAGAAAATGGAAAAAAAAATAAATTCGTGGTTTGAATTTTTAAAAATTAATTTGGTTTGACTTAAAAAATAAAGGTCAATAAAAGGATCTTGGCATATTTTAAGAGATTAGTCTCCCTACTGAAGAAGGTTATTATGTTACACATGCCCAATACTGGATTTAGGTGCTAAGGTACAGTGGTGACGTTTTCTTTCAAAAAGTAGTCAGAATGGCTTGAACAGTGCCTGTTTCACAGGTTCTCAGAGATGACATGGTATCTGAAGTCTGTTGAGGCAAAACACTAGGAACCAAAGGCTAGGAAGAAATTTTTGTTCTGCTGATTGATCACTGCATGTTGTTCAATGGATACTTTACAGTGTGGAGTCTTACTGTCCCCAAACTTTCCTTAGATACAACTGCTATTTTTTGGATATCATAATCTTCAGATTATGATAGCAAATTATTCTAGTATCAATACTATATTTGGTTTAAAGAGAAGGAAAAGACTCCATCACTGTTCAGTGGCTTTTTTTGTTATTTTGCTGCAGAGCCAGATAACCCAGTGTCAGGAAATTTAGTTTCCTTGCCAGTCTTGACATCTGTGTGTCTGATGGAGATATATCAGTGTGTTTACTAACCATTCTTGAGTAAGGGGTGCTTGAGCTCTTTCTTCACCTCACGTCTAATGGATTAAAGGATCTCATGTAGAGCCTTTTGCAGCTTTTGTGATCTTTTCTACAGCACAGTTCAGAGCTCAGTGTAACCAGCTGTAGCATTAACTCTCCCTTTTACCTCCATGTGAGCACCTTTCAATATTGTGTTCTTTCCTCATTAGCAGTATCTGCGACAACTTCCTGGATTTTATACATTTTAATCGTCCTTAGTGGCTGAGCTAGATGGTAGCTATCAGCATTTGATACATCTGCAAAGCACATTCTGTGTGTTTCCAGAAATGGAATGAGACTCAGACAAATTACGTATGTCCTCCATAAATGTATAAGAAAGTGGCACAAATTCATCTGGTTATATATCTTATTTCTAAAAAAAATAAAAATAAATAAATAAACCCCAAAGCACAAGAGCAACAAATAATCAGTTTTGAATACTACTGTGGACATTCTGAAATGCTGTCTAACAGGAAAGGAGTTATTGTCAAAAATTAGATCCTGTACCATGCAATATATACTAGAAATGCATTGGGAAGTAAGGAAACATTAATATAGAATGTAGATGGAGATCACAGAATTGTCATCATGTGGTGTCATCTGAAATGTGGACAACTCACTGATAAGAGGGGAGATATGAAAAATGCATGATTTCAACTAGGTTGCCTACTACATGTTTCCAGTGAGAAATTATGTGTAACTTTTGCCTCTAATCTTGACAAATTTCCATCCAAACAAATTGACACGTTAAATCCCATATTTGAAGCCACCACTTGTCTTTATGGCAATTTGGAAGGCTGCTACATGCAATTAAGGTGCAAATCTTAAACCTGAATTTTCTTGCCTTTTCAGTTGTGACAAAATTGCTTTGCAACATAGTTATTTTTGAAAAAAAACAAAACTAGCTCCATTTGCCATTTCCTTGAAACCACCTCAGATTAGCAATGTTGGATTCTCTATGTCTGCTTTTAGCCTCTCATGCAGTGAGCTACATAAGTCACAAATAGATGGTAGGCCCTCTCCACATGCTTATAAGACTTTGCTAAATGATTTTGTAAGTTAATGAGCCAGCTGTGAAGCAGAGGAATAGTTACAGAGAAGAATAGTTATAGAAAGGAATCCTGGTTTGAGTTGAGATTTATGGCAGGGAAGCAGGTCTCTAGAACAGTAGTGTGAGGAAAGGAATCTGTGCAGCTGAGTGGCTGTAATCACATTGCAGGACTGAGAACAAACGCACTGTATCAGGTGAAACAAAGGCCACAGATGCTCTTGCTCCCTTTTCACTCAGGGCAGTCTGTACCTAGAAGTTATCAGGGCCTCATATGACTTTAGTTATCAAATCACAGCAGATCTTAGAAACCTGAACAAGGCCTCTAAACTGTCAAGAGGTAAACACTCTTTGAACATCCTTTTTTTTTTTAACCTCACTTTATAGAAAAAAGCAGATAACCTATAGAGTGAAACTCATCTTTTAGGAACCATGCAGGTTTTTTGACAAAAAAATAAGTAAAAGTGCTGAAATGGAGCAGTATGGTTCTTCTCGTTTTCCATTTTTCCATCTTACGAAAAATGATCCAGACACATGATGTACTTTTGTTGCCAGCTTCCTTTTATCTGTCCTTAACACACCAAGCTGTCATTTATACAATGGGAAACGAGAACATCCCCAGCTGTGGAAAGAGAGGAACCCTAAAGAAAGGAGGGGATGTGATGGTGTACAAAGGGTAGTGTTATCAGTGAAAAACTTGCAAAATTATTTGATAGAAAAATTGAAAATTAGAAGGCAGTTAAGTATTCATTATTTAAATTTTTAAATACATGATGATTTGTAAGACTTAGTTTGATAATCTGCAATTTATGGTGATCATTTTCTTATCATTTACATTGGCAATATTGATTGCAATCTGCTGTTTTAGTCTGAAGGATTAACATTTGCCAAAGTTCTTAGCACTAGAAAACCATCATATAAAATCAAACACAAAGTTTAAGAGATATTAAGGACAAAACTCACTTTGATTTTATTTGCGTAGTGTAATCCACCTACTTAAACAGAAAAATTTGTTTGCTCTGTGCACTGCAGTGAATACTGTTTATGACAATGGCATATTTACCTTCTGTCTTGATAATTCTTCCTATCCAGCTAAATTATGATTGCAAGTTTACATTGTGTTTGTGCTGCCATTCTGGAGAACCTCAACTGTCTGCAGGAGTGGAATGACAGAGCCCTACCAAGGGGGAAGACACAGTCCTTTGCCTGGCAAAGAGTAACCCCATACTTCAGAGCATGCTGGGAGAAGGCCATATCTGAAAAACAGATAGATATGAAAAGAACACAGGGTTCTTATGTTAAAAAGGGGGAGATCTCATCAACCCTTAGTGCAAGGAAATATCCTTGACCCTTAATATTCAATTGGTCAGCCCTCCAGAAAAGCCTTGTGTCCAGCTAGTCTGTCAGAGGTCCTTCACTGAACAGTCCTTCTGGATCAGAGTTTGACTTAGGGACATACACGACCCCACACATCACTTCCTGACTCCTCAGGGGGTCCTCCAACTTTGTTCAAGTATATCACCTTGATATACTTGACGGTGACTGATGGTGTCACCACTGACAGTGGTGCCAGCGCCCCTGAAGGACTCACAATAAAAGTTTACAGAATAACACTCTTTGTTATAAAAGTGTGAGAGGTTAAGGTTTGAGGATTGTTGGTGAAAACATCTGACTGCAAAGACGTATTCAAAGCAATACAGACAAACTCTAATGCCCAGTAAAAGTGCTCAGCATGCACAGAATATGGCTCTTACCCAGTAGGTATCCCTATGGGGGAGAGGACGGGTTCAGCCCATCGACTGATCCCAGCAGTTATGGTGGAGTCTGTCCTAACTTTTCCTCCATTCTTGACTTACTTTCATATTATTTCTTTGTTTTTAGGTGGAGCTTGACTGACTCTAGTCATGCATACCTTTGTTACTGATTGGTATAAAATTCCCTTGCTTCACTTTTAAAGACAGAGTGAAAAACAATAAAGAGGGCATTCCAAGTGAAATGTGGTCGTACCTTGGAGCCACAGTAACTTTGAGATGAAGGTTTGCATGTATTAAAACTAGGCTAAAATGAACAAAATTTACCTGAGAAGAATGATTTTCAGCACAGTTTTTGACTCAGCAGTAAGTCATCTCCTATCTCTCCTGGTGGACAGGTGCTATGCAGTTTCTCTGCTGCAAAGTGTGTTTGAGTTCCCATCCCTGCAAGGTTTTCAACAGATCCTTGGCCACAGTGTTTCTACTTAGCTCTGCCCACCATTCCATTTCCCTTAGCAGCTGCTTATGATTTTATGAGGGATCATAATGGAACATGCCAACCACATTCCATCCAGGGAGCAACAGCTGTATTTTATCCTATAATTTCCATAGAATGAAAAACTCTGTTATGATGTGAATATAACTTCTCAGTTGTCTCTGGTTTTAACCTCTGCCAGCTGGGGGACATAGGAGTTTCCCTCTTTAAATCAGGAGATGCTTTTGGTCCTGGGAAACCCAGTGTAGGTCACCTGCTTGAGAGTTGAACTCCAGTGCTTCCTTTTAACCACAGCCATTCAATGATTCTGTGATTCTTCAGCAGTATTTTCTCCTAGTAATTTCCTAATAATTCCATCATCCTGTTTGTCTTCTTAAGTTCAAGAATCAATCTGTAATTACTCTTCACTTTTCTGTGTGTTACAAGCTGACTTTGGAGCAGCTTGTTTTTATATTTTTTTGTTTAGTATTTTTCAACATGTTAGACATTTCATTTCCCTGCTCAGTCACCATCTTCAACACATCTGAAATTCTTCATGGTAAGTGGATTGGCCTTGACTAGTTGATGAAGAATTGAAGAAATATGTGACTACTGAATATTTAATACTTGATATTTTTCCATTTCTTGGCTTAATATGCTTAAACACACAGTATTTTAAAAGTTATACATCCTTCCTCTGTTAATCAAATTAACAAATTCCGATTTTCAATACATTTTTCAAACTATGATAATATTCTTTGTGGTTTTTCAATGAAAATTTGATGTATTTCCAAATTTTAAAAATTACATACACATGCTTCTGATCCTATATTAAATTTTATAAAAATGAATTGCCCTTCTGACTGTTTGCTAACAATTATTTTTATAACTTATGAGTGTAGTATACATTATTGAAAAGAAAATGTACATAGAAAGATAATTTTTAACCATTAATAACAACACTAAAAAATACTAAATGGCCTTCTTTCTCTATACATGTTTAACCAAAGAACAGTTGCATAATTTAACCATAATTAAAAAACAAATCTTGAAGAAAGTTTTTTTTTGTTCTTTTTTTTAGAAATAAATATGGAATTTTAAAAAGCCCAGACATCCTTGTACCTGAAAGAAGAAAAATTCTGTTTATCCTCCAGGTACAAAGAGAGAATCATCTGAATCTTAGATGTCTTGGCAATACACACTTGCTCTACCTTTGAATATTAAGAATTAATCACTGCTGGTTTTCTGTTTGTTTGTTGTTGGATTTTTTTTCCCTTTCATAGTTGGATAATACTTCCAAATTGCTAATGAGATCTGCCACTATCTAATTAAAAGCAACACAGTTAAATAAATTCATTCTGGTTTTTATTTCTCTTCCAAGTGCTCAGAAAATTTATTCCCAGCAATTGCAATTAAGAGAAATTCTATGGAATAATAAACTGGGGCAAGTGATGTTTGTTTGTTTGTTTATTCTGATATAGTCATTATTTGAGCAAATTATGAGAGAAAGAGATAAACTAATGAGGTAAACAGCTCTCAGAGTAATTTGGGTAATCCCTAAACATAGTTTTATTTTATGAAGTAATATTTTTACACAAATTAAAAAAAAAATTCTTTCATTTTCCCCCTGTAAAGCAAGAAAATATACAGTCACTAGTGAAAGATTGCTAATGAACACATGTTCAGCCCAATGCAGTTGTTAAAACTATAACTTTATGGTAATTTTTTGCAAAGTACAAACCATCACCTGATATTGCCACCTCCATTGTGTGCTTGGTTTGGGAATGTTGTGGGTTTTTGTGCCTGCCCTGTGGTCCAATGCAAATTTTATGTGGTAACCATTTATGGTGAACTTATTGTTCTCTGCCTTCCCTCACCCAATTCAATGAATGAACTGATGAGATATCTCAGCAAGATACAAGAATGGCCTTTTTTCCTTAAAACTGCACGATGGACTTACCTGAAAAAACCAAAACTAATATTTGTCTTCTAGGGAGGTAATTGCTTATATACATAGAGAACAAAATTATACAATTTCTAATGAATCATGAGCATCAAAGACTCAACACCAGTGTGTCTATTATCTGCAGAGCTAGGGCTTTATGCTAAGAAGTTAAGGTTTAATGGTTGAATACTTTTTTGGAATCCAGGAAACATGAATTACCAATGCTGAAATTCTCATTGACACTGAAGACCATAAATGTAATTTAGATCAGTCTAAACGCATAAATCTGGGCTATTCTGATAGGAATCCTTGCAACAGGTATGTCTTAAGAACCCAGACCCCACAAAAAGATGTCACTTTAGATAGATCTTTTTTCCGATTTTCTTTGTGGGTGATTTCTATGACACAGAAAATTTTTGGTGATTTCCAGTCTCTGCAGTATCCTGAGAGTCTAATGCCTGATGAGGAAGAAGTCATGGAATTCAGTACACTAATGCTTAAGGCTCTTTATGGATCAGTCCTTTAGGTGAGGTTGATTGATCTTTCACATATTCTTACTGATAGGAGTACTCCACCACATCATAATCTAATAAATGTTTAGCTGGTATCAGAATATCATGAGGTCTAAATTCAGGATTTCTGAAATATGGACAATAGAGGTTTTTTCCTATAATTTTTTCCTTGCACATATTTTATGCTCTTTGAGGCATGACTTTTGCAGAGTATGGATTTTGTTTTTGTATGTCTGTAACATAAGAGAGTTCCAGTTCTGATATGTAAAGTCTACCTTTGAAAAAACATTTGAATTTAAAATCTGACTTAGACTCTTTCATCTCATTGTATCTTTGGTATTTATTGCAATGACTGAGTGCTAAGTGGTAACTTGAAATTTCTGCATTACACTTGTAATTGAGTTTGTGATTAAAAGATTCTGAAAATATCATCAAACTTACCACACAGACTCTAAGTTATCATTATTAAAAATAGTTATTATACATGGTGTCATTTTGTAGAATAAGCCTTTCAAATGCCACTGCTTGGAAAGGGACACAGATATAATTATAAGTGTGCATGTGTTTGGGTTGTTTGTTCATTTTTTACATTTTTTTTTAAATTATTATTTGTTGCTTGTTTTTTTTTTTTTTTACTAGACTGGAACTTAAATACAAAGAAGCAAAGCACTCAGTTATGCACAGAACTTCAGCATGTCATTTTACTTACTACATTTTTGTCCTTATAAAAAAGGGTTTAAGAGAAAAAAAAAAGGCTTCTGCTATAAATTCTACTTATATTTCAAGGCCTGTAGAAGAAACATGCTGTGCAGAAGAGGTCTCTTCAGAAAACTGGAATAGCCTGAGGTCAAAACTATCATTGTTAGAAGATCTGGTATGATTCATTGACATTTCAATGAGATAGATATGTATAGAACTATCATTGTCTTTGAGTTTACAAAGACAACAACAACTCATAAAAAAAATCTACACCAAAAGGAATAAAGTTCCCAATTTTTAGAGCAGAAAACAGACTTTGCACATTGTATAAATGTTATTAAAAAAAAACCCAAATAACTCTTTTTTTCTCTCTGGTCTTGGAGATGGGTAGAAGGGAATACTTCTTTTCCCAGACACATTTACCTTCAGGAATTGATAATGGTGATTCAGGTTTGTTCACAGCAACATGCCTTAGTTCATTTGCAGAAAATACTGAGTTCAAATCCTGAAGATATTTATTTTATTTTTATTAAGACTGTGTATTTCTCTGTCTCAGTTTCATTTCAGGTGATTTCAGTAAATTGAAAACATGAAAATCTTAAATAAAACTATAATTCTACCTTTACTCATAAAAATGAAAGTTTAATTTTTCTTTAAAACAATGGATATAAGCACAATTTTGCTGATGATTCACAGTTGCAGCATGCTGAACAAAGTGATGGCCAAAACCATTCTTCCATAATTGCAGAAACAAATAGATGTAGCCTATATCCAAAATGTCTATCCTATAGCCTATAACCTAAATGTCTGAAAAGCACATCATTGACTTTCACTGGAACTGAAGCTCCCATAGTCTGATTTTGAAAATCCATGTAATATCTAGTTTTCGTAAGTTTGTAAAAATTATTAATTTTGAAGTAAAATATCAAAACCATTTAGTGGCTGTCAATATTTTGATCTGCTCTTTTTTGAATTGCATCAGTGCTGTTTCTTTTTTTTTCTTTTTTTCTCCAGTCACAAAACACATGCCCTTTCTGAGGACTAGTTATTTCTTCAGTGTTTACAAAATTAAAATCTTGAAGGGCTATTTATTCTGGAAAGACCTCTGTATTTGAAAATTTGCCAGGGATGCTTGGTGATCTCTTTGTGTACTTACTCTGAAAGCTCCCATATGCTATGTTTATTTCTTCCTTATAAGCAGATTTCATTTGTGCAAAAAGCTCCTGCATGTGAATGGGACACAATATTTTTTGAATTTTTTAACACTGTAAGATTTTGATAGTCTCTTTAGTGTATGAACTTGAAAAAATCTCTCTAACAGCTGAGTATAAATGTGAAGCTTTTGCCTCCACATAAATGCAATCCTTTTAATTTTGAGATAGCTCTTTGATATATTTTATACAATATTTGCTAACTGATTAATTAAAACTGCTGAGACTGGGTCCCAGCTGTCTTTAGCTAAGGGGTTATTGTAGATGGCTGCTTCACTGCACAAATTGTTTTTAAGGGAAATGTTTTGTCTGGATTTATTTGTTGTTAGCTGTCATTTAAAGAAAGCAAAAAAATGTTTTGTAACCTAACAAGCAAACTGAGTTTTTTTATGGCTGTTTTTTTTGTTGCTTTGATTTTCCAAAACGAGAATTTAATCAAGACACCAGGCAGGAAAATTCTACAACAGAAATACCTGAAAGTTTTCTTCCGACTTATACCTGGAATATGAGGCTTACTTGGCCTAAGAAATATCCTACAGGCTGGCTTTTACTTCCATTGCCTTCTATGTGATGGTCTCTGACTATTTTCCCTCTTAAAACAGATGTGAAGCCCGTGGCAATTACAAGTACCAGCATGTGGTAATCTAAATT